TTCAATCTGTGCAGGTTAGTCTAACCTGGCTAGGCTAAATAATGTTGTAACTGCACAGGCATCTGCTCTGTACTGAAAAACTGCAGGCACATGCCTGCAGTGGCTCAGGCTAGAAGCTGTGGGGAGTGCTAGAACAGCCCTCCCTTCCCTTCTACAGGGCTGAGCTGAAGGGGGCATGGCCAGGACCTGGCAGGATGCTGTAATTCAGGAGCCCCTCCCCCCCTTTATAACAGAGCATTTATCAGCTCTCTTATCAGCATTTAACACCCCATCAGAAGACAAAGCCTCACTCACTAGTTCAAACTATTTTTAAAATAGCTTTTTTCAAAGGAAGGAATGCAGGAGCATTACCAGCTGAGCTTCTGATTAGCTCCAAAGAGCGTTAAGTGGACACCGTCCTATCTGCCTTATGTAGCATTAGCTAGCATACCACATGCTGGCTACAGTCCATGCTGTGGGAGAAAGAAGGAAGGGATCTCTGCTTAAGCAGTAAGTTGGGGTGGGGAGGAAAGGGGGTAGGGGGAATCCAGGTAGACCCTGCTGTGCCTGCAAGTCTGTTCTGGAGCTCCAGCCAGAGAGCAGAGAGGAGGAGCCAGCTGTGGAGCAGAGAGCCCACCAGGATGCTTGGGGAATCTGATTTAACTTAAACCAGCAAGGGGTCTGGGACAGAGATTGCATAAACCGGTTTGACCTAAATCAGTTAAGTTTGACACTACATTCAACCAGGTTTATCTCAAATCAGTTTCAGACATTTTCAGACTGGTTTATGTCTACTGAATGTTTGTTTTGTTGCAGGTTTAAACCAGTTTCTGGTCACTTAAATCAGTTTACATGTAATGTCTGTCCCTAGCCTTAAGGGATAATACGCAAGATGATACAATGAAATCCAGGACTTCCATTGATGGTAAATATGAAGATTAACCACAAAAAGTTAATGCTATAATTCATATGGATGAATGCCAAACAAACATCTAATGAAATAGTCCTGAAATTATACCCTTTCAGCAATGTCCTCTTCCCACACAAGAAACAAAAACATTCATTGCGGTGTGACTGCACACTTGACTCTAAGTGGTGCCACAAGCTACCATGAAAGTGGTTAACTGAATCATGAGAGTTCAGAAATTAACCCAATAGCACCATTTCTTTTCTTTTTTTTTCCTCCCACTTCGAGATAAAGGAAGAATCTTGTACATAACCTCTCTATTCTTAGTTACAAATGACTGTTACTATTAGCAATAATGTGTCTCTGTCCCAGATGCTAAAAGCTTTCCTGAGCATATTGCTTCTTTACAACATTGTGTGAAAGAAAGAAAATGTGATAGATAAGCACCAGGGTTGCATGTGTGGACAAATTATTGTCAGTAATAATTATCTCTCTAGTAACCACAGGCTTGTGATTTCTTTGGCTTGTTTCAGAGTGGACATAGAGTCAGAGCAAGTGAGGAATTAAAAATAAGTTTAAAAATATACAAATAGACAAAGAATGGAAGTTATGGTGTAAATACAGACAGAGCTATGATATGAAATTATTTAAATATCAACTCTGCATAAGCTGTGCATCTCCTTTATGTTTATTTCTAAAACCATTTCTTCCATTTAGTTAGTGATCACTGATAAGTATAGCTAAGTGAACTAACAAGGTACTTCTTTAAACAGTACACTGCAATACAATTCAATTATTAAAAAGAGAAATCTTATTAATTCTTACTATTTTTTAAATTTCTGTTTTCAGTGAATACACTCAACTCATGAACTATAACATAATGTACAAATAGATAATCAATCTCCTTTCTCTAAATATTACAACTGAATAACACTGCAATACGTGACCTTCTTATTTTTCAAATGAAATTTTAATGTAAAGATGATGTAAAATGTTTTATTGAAGGCATAAAATGATTTTCATGGGAAATCACTTTTTTCCAAGAAAAAATATTATTAAAACAATAAGAGAAATAACAATTATAACATTCAATTTTAAAAATCATAGAATCATAGAATCATAGAAGTAGGGTTGGAAGGGACCTTGTAGATATTCAAGTCTGACCCCCTGCCTGGGCGGGAGAAAAGACTGGACTCAAATGAGTCCAGCCAGGTATGATTATGTTTTAAAGAGGAAAAATCTAGTTGGTTATCTACAACATGACATTAGGTTTTTAAAAAATTAAAAATATAATTATAATGAGTTCAGTAATTGTCCCCTGCAAAAAAACCAAAAAACGCTACACAAAACAAAACAAGCTCCCCAGGGTTAAGCAGAACAAACAAGCAAACAAAAAGATTCTGAAAAAAACACAGGATATGTGTAAATTAACAATTTGTGAAATTCCCCTTCTGGAGTTTTCATGATTTCATTTGTGCCTTACCCTTTCACTTCAAAGAGTGGTAGGTGTGAGTTAATTAGCCTGGATAGGGCCAGAATCCCTTCTACTGCTCCATACCCTAAAGATCCATTTCTAGGCCTAATTCCATGGTTAATATGTCTCTCGCTGGAGATACACTGGAGAATTGATGTCAACTCTTTTCATTGGTCCCAAGACTCCACTAGCACAGGAAGCAACCAGAAGGGCTTCCAGTTCAGATTTAATTCAGGGTAGGAAACAGCTGATTGAGAATCTGAAGGTGGACCATAATTTGGATAAAAACGATCATGAAACTAAAACTGCTCTTGGGTCAGAGTCCTTGGTTATGAGGAAAGGAGTGAAATCAGCAAAATAATGTTTATAGACTTCAAAAAATGGACTTCACCAAAGTCAGGGAATTAGTAGATTATGTCTTATAGGAAGGAATTGTAAAGGAAAGTGGAATCCAAGAGAATTGGCAGTTTCTAAAACAGGCAGTATTAATAGGCATACGGGCAAGTTATCCCAGTGCAGAGGAAAGGTCAAGACATACAGAAAAAGATTAATATAGCTACATCAAGAGCTCTTTAATGACCTGAAAAATCAAAAAGTTATCATACAAAAGGGGAGAAAAGGATAAAATCCTGAGGATAAATCTGGAAGAATAGCATATACATGCAGTGTCAAAATCAGAAAGATCAAAGCACAAAACAAGTTACAACACACAAGGGACATGCGAGGCAAAAGGAAATGGTTCTATAAATATTTTCAAAGTTAAAAGAAATGTAAAGGAAAGTATAGATCCATGAGAAAGGTGAGCAAATTAAATGACAGAGGAGGCTTCAGGGTCCAACGGCTTTTTAATTCAGTCTTTCCAAAAAACGGTACTTATAACCAAATAAAAAAAAAATAAAAACAAGAAAGGGTGTGCAACACAGAACAAGGCAAGGGGGAAAAGGTGTTTTTACACATGTTTTATGTATTCAGGTCAGTAGAACCTGATGAAAATTGACATTCAAATATGGAAGGTACTAGCTAAACCACCTCTAAACCATTAGCAGTTATCTCTGAAAACTTGTAGAGGGATAATTAAGTTCTCCATTGAAGGACTGGAAAAGAAAAAAATATATACCTAGGCTTTTAAAAAAAAAAAGGTGGTAGAGAAAAGAAGACCCCACTAATTATAGACCAGTCAGCCTAATTTTAATACCTCATAAAAACATTGGAACAAATTATTAAACAGTCTGTTTTTAATTGGCCTTGTAGATAGGAGTTAGAGATGAGAGAGAGGACCGTAGATGTGATATAACTTGTCTTCAGTGAGACTTTTGACACAAGATCATCTAACATTCAGATATAAAACTAAGGAGATGTGGTTTGGAGGAATTATCGTATTCAAAGAGTAATTGTCAATAGTTCAGTCAACCTAGGATGACATATGCAATGAGATCCCATAGGGATCTGTTCTTAATCTTGTTCTAGGGAATGTTTGGCTTAATGATTTGGATGATGGAATGAAGAGTATGTTTTAAAAATTTGCACATGAATCATCCTGGGAAGGCTGAAAGCCCTTTAGAGAACAATATTAGAATTCAAAATGATCTTGATAAATTGGAGAAACCATCTGAGATCTATAAGTTCAATAAACACAAGTGCAGAGTTAATTAATGAGAAGGAGAAAAGGAAATCAAATACATAAATACCAAATGGGGAACAAATTGCTATGCAGCAGCACTGCAAAAAAAAGGAGGGGATAGTTATAGAGAAGCACAGCTGAATACGAGTTAGCAGTTCTATTGAAAGCAAATGCCATTCTGGGATGTTTTAACAACAGTTTCATATTCAATATACTCATAATTATTCAGTATGGAGGAGGTTTGTCCTGAAGTGTTTTGTCTAGTTTTGGGTATGCCGTCTTAAGAAAGCAATAGACCAACTAGAAGAATCTACAGCAAGAATAGTGATTGGTTTAGAAAACATAAGCTTTGAGGAAATTTGAATACAACTATGTTAATTGTAAAAAAAGGAAGACTGGTTTCAAAGCTGTAAAATATTGTTATGAAAAAGAGAATGATCACTTCTTATCCCATGTCCATCCTTAAGATACAACAAGAAGTTGGCTTAATGTGAAGTAAAGGCTTAAGGGCATCATTTCTAATTTCTAAGCTAGAGATAGTTAAGAAATTAAATAGATATCTTAAGGAGGTTGTACAATGCTCACAATGAGGTTTTAGAAACAGATCAGATGAATATTTCTCAGACATTCTCTAAATAAACTTCCCTCAGAACAGATTTTTGGACTAGATGCCCCATCCAGCCTTTTATTTCTATTACTTCTCCAAGATCTTGCTAAATTATTCCCCCTTAAATGAAATTAAAGTAAAAAGTACAGGCCAAGATACACAAAAAGGTACTTCCTTTTTAGTTATCTGCATGCAAGCAAGTAAATATAAATGTTATTGTTTGAGATAAAGGTAGTAGGATCATCTGAGACTCAACTATGGTTTAAATCTATACATTATTAACACAGCTATTTACAGGTAAATAACATTTGTTTTTCTTCTATATCCCTAGAGCTACTGAACAACAGGACAACAGGTAAGGTTTTGTGATTAAAAATGCAGACACAAACTAATCTTAAATTGGTATTCATACCGTCATAAATCCATCCAGCAAACCTGAATCGGGTTTTGGAGGTGCTTGTAGTCTTTCCATTGACCATTTTTCAATGATGGAGGCCACCTGGCTATTTTCTGTGTTTAAAATTCTGAATCCAGTCATGTTAACGCCACTATACCGGTAGGGTTCCACATCAAGAGCAAAAAGATCCTGAAAAACATATTCCTTAGATAAATGCTATGCCAATGCTTATTTCAACTGTTTAACCATCTCTCCAGATACTAGTGCTAAAACATCCATATCAGCATACATGCACATTGTACTATATGTTCCATTTATAGTTTAGGGTTCTATTTCCTATTTTACTCCATATAGGAGTTACTTATAACATACTAAGAGAAGAACATATTCCACAGCCATTAAAAAAGTGAAAGTTAAGTCCAAATGCTGAACTGTATTGCCTATGATATTGGTTATAAATATTCTACAAAGTTTAATCACATTTTAAAATTCTTTCCTAATTTAATGATCACTTTTTATGGTTGCTAGATATGGTTTAAAAAATGACAAAATAAAAGAAAATGACAGATTCTCTTCATTCTCCTTAAACTATTTTTTGAGGTTAAGTGTTATCCACATCTCCAACTTTTATCTTGCTCTAGGACCTGTAACATGTTTCATGTTATTGAGATACAGAGTAACTTGTAGACAATTAGTCTCTTTAGTCGTAAAAAGGGAACAAATTTCAAAGTTAATTATGAAGGTTAAGCATTTTCAACTGAATGGCACAGAAGTGCATACACTCTATTTTTTCACATATTCTGATACCAGTTCATTTATGTAATGTATTTAACTATGATAATATTTATAACCAAGATATATTTAGACTTAAAAAATTATAAGATAAGCACTGCTAGAGAATGAGTCTTTCTGGGGGGGGTTGGTGCTGGGTTATTGCATTAGTTTTAAGTTTTCTTTAAAAAAAAAAATTAGAAATTTAAGATTAACCTATTTCAATATTATGGTCCCAATTTTTCAATTTGAACTTCAGAATAGCCTGCAGATAAAATATTATGTCCAGAACTCTACATTAAGGCATCCTAATGCACAATCAGACTTTAAATATGAAAACATGTAAAAGGAATTTTATGAAAAAAAGATGTTTCTTTAATGACTCAGTAGGCACACCTTGAACAAGCATGAAAAGCTTTAGTACAATACAGTAATAGTACTTTTTCAACAAAACCATCTTTTTATGATTTAGTAATGCGTTGTCTCCCTACATATACTACATGATTTATTTTGTTAAATATAGCCTCATTATATGTTGTAAAATGACACTACTTACCTTTTAACATCTTTCAGCACCTTAGATTTTTTAAACGCCAGTTTAATATATTCTAGGTTTCTGTGAAGTGAGAAGGCTAATATTGCTGAAAACATTTATTTACTTATTGCAGGAAAAGCTAAGAAATAGCCACACTCTAAAAAAACAGTGTATGAATTGCTTATTGTTCATACGAGAACTTTAAAATAATCTCAAACCACATAACTGTCCCTATTCTAGTTAGGAATTATGGCACTATTTGCCATATAGAATCTAAGATTTTCTAAACTTGTTTGCTATACAACATCTATTTACAAAAATCCATATTTGTGTCCTTATTGTAAAGACACCATACACTCTAGCACTGGAAAAATAATTGAAAGAAATGAGAAACTGTAGCTACTTTCTTTCAGAATTTCTTTCCTGTTAAATTTCAATGTGTTCAAACATCTCCATAAACATAATAAATAGACAGATGAATGATGTCTCATCACTAATTGTTTAATCTAAACACATCCATGTTTACACAAAAGTGTAACAAATACACACAACAGCTCAGTATATTAATAACCTAGTGCATTAGAACCCTGAATCATTGAGGATTATGGTTTCAGAGACTGCTCTACCCAGTGACTGCACATTTTATTTGACAGGATTTTTACTGTGTCAGGCAAATTACTACCAATAAATCAAAATATTTTAAACTTAGATGCAAGCTACAGATGCTGTATTGCAGCATCAAAATTCATCGTCTGGTGGTGGGTACCAAATTATTGTTCTTCCTGTCTGAGTCAATCTGATCTCTGGCTCTCCTGTACAAATCAAGTGTTCACATCAGCAAATGGAAATACTGAAGGTAAATTACTCAAAGCACTGATTCTTACCAGTAAACCAAATGAAAATATAAAAAGAGAATGGAGACCTCTGAAATCAGCAGTTATGTTAGAGAGACTGAAGAGGGGACTTTTACTACATACATTCCTAGTATCTTTGATGTCCACAAAAGTAGTACCATTTACATTTCCAAAAGAAGAGGGAATCTAAATAGGACATTAGGTTTTTACTTATCTAAAAACATTCAGAATTAATAGTTATTTTGCTAACCATTCAATACTCAGGCTGTGATAATGCAGCTGTTCCTAGTGTCTTAATAACCTCTATTCTAAGGCTGGGATGACTTGTTCATTGTATCATAAAGGCTTCATTTCAGCAAGGTACTTAAGCACATATGTCATTGTAAGCACACAAGCAGTCCCATTAAAGTGGATCTACTCAGATATTTAAAAATGACAAATATCCAAACAGCCTAGCTAAATCACAGCCTCAATGTATCCATTTTGACAACAATGTGAGCAAGATAAAAGTTTTTTGACAACATGTATTTCTCAGAGTGAGACTTGAAAAATAATTTTTAACTTCCTCGCTAGTAAGACCCTCACATATAGCTAAGACGACATGGAAATGTAGAGCTGATTAAAGAGTTCGCTGTGAATATTCAATCGCATCTGAAAGCATAGTTAAGTTTAAAGTATGTCCATTTTTGAAATGTACTAACATAATGAACAATGACTGTTCCCATATTCATCAAACTGATGTTTAGAGCTGGTTAGCAATGTTAGTCTGAAGGCAGACTGAAGATAGGGCAGCGTGGCAACTTAAGGCCCCTCTGCACATGCAGGTAAAGGTGCAACAGGATCTAGTGTATGATCTCACAATTATGCCTCCTGCCGTGCATGTGTGGATCATGCATTAGATCCCACTATGCCTTATTGCTGGTGCAGGAGAAGCCCAATCCTGCCCTCCATCTCTCATCTGCACTGGCAATAAGCAAACTCCCATGGCTGGGAGCACCCTCAGGTGAGGAGTTTCCATCTGTGAGGGCACCCCATGCACCCCTGGGCCTGGGAGATCATTACTGCTTTGGTCTCCCAGCCCTGGGTTTGTGTGAAGCTTTAGGTCTGGGAAGATCACAGCTGCCATGGTCTTAAAGCCCCAGGAGTGTCTGTAGTACTCCTGGGGCTTGGAAATGGCAAGCATGGCCCATGGTTGCTGGGACCCAGCTGCATCCCAGAACCAGGAGGTGAACTGCTAGAGCCCAGTGTCTGCAGCTCCAGGACTATGGGTCCCAGCCATCCTGTGGCACTCCTGGAACTAGAGTTGGCTGTTGCCAGAGCTGAGTGGGACTCCCAGCCCCAGCCCGGCATGGCTGATAGTACTCCCAGCAGCCGTAGGAGCCCCTGTTACACATCCAAGTTAAAGCTGGACACCAGCTAGCTATAAAGCTAGTACATGTTTTAAAGATCTATTTTTCCACCTGGCTGAACCTTTTTGGCCAGGTACAGACATTATACTTTTACCGGTAGAGTGATTGGAAACACTGTTCTGTTACAGGTACCTGTAACAGAACAGAAGTTTGGCACACAAAACCAGTCTATACCCATAACAGAACATAAATTCAGCGCATGGACTGGTTTAAAAATGGTGGAACCGCGTCTTAGATTTGCTCCCCTCTTCTCCCCACCAAAGGGCGAATGTGTGTTCTGTTCACTACCCATCAAAACTATGCCACTTACAGAAAACCATGTAACTTAGATCAATTCCACCTCAGGTTCTTATGAATGTCTGTACCTAGGCCTTTATGGCATGCTAGTTACTTTGCACACGTAGCTGCTTTCAGTTAACTGCATAATTAACCACCTAATTGTGCAATATCTGTAACGTGTAGAAGGGGCCTCTGAGAATACCTGGCTTTAAGAGGCATTAGTATCATAGGCAACAACCCACTTTGTTAGATGCTATAAATAGACAGATGTTTGTATTGTATATAAAATTCTGAAGTTTTTAATTCCTACAGAGCTGATGACTTACATAAAAGGAAAGACACAATGTTACATGGCATATATAATTACCATCCCATAGGTCATTTTACATTATGAGTTTCAAATATTCACAGCAAATTATTTAGGAATGATCTTCAAACCAATTATTTTTTTTTGCTAAAAAATAAGCAGCTAACTTAGAACCATGAATCTATTTCAGACTTTTATAATCTGTAAATGAACACATGAGAAAAATATTAATTATTTGTGGAGTAAATTATTCATTATTAATTATACTGTCAGCTCTTCTTACACAGATAAAAACAGCAATGGTATTAAATAAGTAGTTCTCAGGTCTATCAGTTTCCAGGATATAATGCTGAACATTAATTAAACCATCCTCATGAGTTTTCTTTGAAATGTAACAAAATTTGATGGAGAAAATATCCCATTTTCATACCAACATCCCAAGAGAGCTCTTTAACATTGTCAAGTAATGTAATTAAGAAAGCTAAGGCCTTTGTTTTATGTCTTCAGAATGTTTTTATAAGCTACTTACCAGTGTGGTAAAGATATAATGATAGTATTCTGTCATCATTCCCATAGCTAAAGCCTGAAAAAATAAACAAAATATGAATATTACTGAGGTCACATAACACATTTTTATCACACGTATATGGCAAAAGAAAAGCAGTAGTAGAAAACTACAGGGATCAATCAGACTATAGGGTTGGAATTGCGCTAAAATCAGGTCAAGCAAATCATTCCTTAGCAGTTAGACCAGATTACTGACTATTAAAGGAATTTATGAAGCAGATCTTCTGGCAGAAAGAATATTATTAAAATGCTTGGAGCAGTAAAAGTGAAAGAGGCTCATACTTTTACATATTATTGGGTATATTAAGTTGCCACACAAAAACTGAACTGAGAATATGTTCATTTATTGTATTTATAATGTCTCCACTAAAAAAAAACCTAAACACAATTCTACTTTGATGAACTATACTACTCAATTTAAAAAGTGTTGGCAAACCAACATAAGGAAACTGGTAGGCCTAGCTTTGAGCACTTTAACCACACTTCTGTAGCATTAATAGAGCACATCAAATATTGTCATCACTACTCAAAAAGAACAGACACCTAGCAAATATGTTTCCCTGTCTTCCTAATCATACGGCATTGTATCATTGTAACTCAATTCTGCATTTTAAATTTGTCATACTTTTTTTGGCAGAATAGGGTCAAATGTTCTAAAATACAGTTTTAAAGTAGTAGTCTGGGAATCTCTAATTATTCGTATTCATTATTATAGTACCTTAAAAGGACAGTTCCAATCTAAAAAACAGCTGTGCAAAAAAGGCACCTTCTTGATCTGTAGAGCAGCTCTTTTTGTTTATCAAGATTTACATCCAGTCTTTTCAGTAATAAAATAAGTTACTAGCTACTTTTCATGCTACATGATACAATCATAGGGGAGGTAACTTCAGATTCCAGTACTTGGGCCACAGATCCATCCACAGAAGTTGCAGGTCTTTCTGTAGGGGAGAATAGGCTGCAGGCTGGGATTCCTCTCCTTTCTCTGCATTCTCATCTCTGATTTGAGGGTAAGATGCTTTACCTAGAAATGGGCTCCCTCTTGGTTAAGGGTGCAGTGCCATTAGAACTGTTGGCAGCCAGTTCCCACCAACTCTCGATGCTGGCATCCGTCTTCTTGAGGTATGCCTTCAATGCATCCTTGTAGCATTTCTCCTGGCCATCATGAGATCTCAGGTCACAGTTAAGCTGAGAGTAGAACACTTGTTTTGGGAACTGAGAATCAGGCATCTGCACACAATGTCTAGTCCAATGAAGTCAGTTCTCCAGGATCACTGACTCTATGCTAATAACATTGGCTTCAACAAGGATGCTGATGTTTGTGCAGCCATCTTCCCATTTGATGTGGAGGATTTTCCAGAGGCATTGTACGTGATACATCTCTAGGCTCTTGAGATGATGACAGTAGGTCACCCATGTTTCACATCCATCGAGGAGAGTGGGGATGAGGGCTGCATTGTAGATCTGGATTTTCATGTCTTTCCACAGATTGTGATGAATAAAAAGACATGCCAAAGCCATTTCCCAAAGGAAGCACTTGAGCACCAGATCCTGTGCTGGATCTCCTCATCAATGTTCACACTTTGAAAGAAGTGGCTACTGAAGTACGAGAAGTGCTCAGTGACCTCCAGGGAAGGAGGGCAATTTGAGTAAGTGTGTGTGTGTGTGGGGGGGGGTCACATTCATGGCCTGGGACAGGCTGATAGAGCACTTTAGTCTTCCTGATTATGTGAGACAGGCCCACATTTTGACAGGTTTCTCTGAAGAGATTGAGTATCATCTGGAGGGTTTTTTTCAGGGTGTGCAAGGATGGTGCACTTGTCAATCCATTGAAGGTCTAGAATGATTATTTTGTGTACTTTGGTCTTTGAGAAAAAACATCCCAGATTGAAGAGCCCTCCATCCATTAAGTATTCAATGTTAATTCCAAAAGGAAAGAGGTTCTTAATGAGAACCAGGATGACTGTCAAATAAATGGTGATCAGAGTTGGGGCAATGAGGCACCTTTGCTTGTGGCCCCAGTTCAGATGACTAATGGATCTGTCTCCAATCTACTACACAAAATAGTCACAGTCATTTGATGGTAAAGCCTCAGGAGCTTGATGTACTTTTCAAGGACATCCAAATCTGTCCAGTACTTTCTACAAGGTTTTGTGACTGATGGAATCAAAGGCCTTAGTAAGATCAATGAAGGCCATATACAGGCCCTGATTTTGTTCCTGGCAGGCAACAAAGGTCATGTCAATTGCCTCAAAGAATGGTCTGAAACCACAATGAGATTCTGACAGGACTTCCTCAGCACATGGTAGAAGACTGTTCAGGAGAATGTGGAAGAGGATTTTCCCTGCTGTGAAAAGAAGGGTGATACCTCAATAGGTTTCCTATATAAAACTTATCTCCTTTCTTGGTCATGATGTTGGCATTTCTCAGGTTCCCAGGAATCTCTTTGTTGATCCAAATTCATAGAATAAATTCATGAAGTCTCAGTTCTAGTTCCTTGTTACAGGCCTTGTAGATTTCAGTAGGTATACCATCTGGTCCAGTAGCCTTGTTGTTCTTGGTTTCCTGGATGGCACGCCAGATTTCTTCTAGGGTAGGAGCGTTGGCAAGTGAGCCCCTTTCAGGGTGTTGGGAGGTGGACTCAATGGTGGAATCTATCACAGTCGACTCATGTGCTTCTTCCATTTAGCTTGTATAGCTTCATTGTCTTTGAGGAGTACTGAATCATCCTACAAATGCAAGGAAATAGAATGATGGGAAGCTGGGCTATAAATGGTTTTGTTTTCTGTAAAAAACTACACATCATGTTTGTCAGCATAAATCTGGGTATCCTTGGCTTTATCTTGCCACCACTGATTGTTGATGTCCCAGATCCTCCTATGAGCTTCAGCTTTGAGAAATTGATATGTTTCCTTCTGCTGAGATGAGATGAGCTCTTGTCTTCTGCTCAAAGAGGGCTTGCATCTCAGAGTCACTTTCATTGACCCACTGTTTTTGTTCATGGGTGGTACAGTCAACGGCTTCAGCACAGGCAAGATGGACAGCAGTTTTAAACCCCTTCCAGGGTTCCTCAATGTTGTCTTCATTTGGGTGCAGGGCAGACAGCTTTTCATGGAGGGTACTGTTGGCATTCCTTGCAGACCTTATGGTCTTGAAGAGGTTTGGTATTGAGAGTCTTCCACATTGCTTTTCACTGTTTTTGGTGTTCTGGAGCAAGGCAGATGTTCATAACAGATCTCACAAGACAGTGATCTGTCCAGCAATCATAGGTTCCTCACATGACTCTCATGATATGGACATGGGTTACAGGGTCTAACAATAACATAGTTGAGGAGATACCAATACTTAGAGTGATGGTGTCTCCAGGTGGCCTTGTATTTGTCTCTGTCTGAAGATGGTGGTCGGGATGACAAAAACATTATCCACACATTTGCTCAGGAGAAGGATGCCATTGGAGTTGGCTTTTGCTAGTCCTTCCTTTTCAATGGTGCCATTCCAGAATTCCAGGTCCCATTCAACTCTGGCATTGAATTCACCAAGGAGAATGATCAGACAGGGGTGGAAAAGGATTACACTTCAAGATTTAAATGTCTTAACATCATTTAAGCATCACTTAGTGCCCAGTCTTCCGCATTGCAGGAAAATGGGATAATAAGAATAGAGCTCTCTCTTCCTAATTTTCTATCTTCCTGAATTTTCACCTGATAAGTGAATTTTATTCTGCTTCCACCTTCTACAAACCCTCATTCAGATTTCTCTTCACTTACCTCTCTGACACTACACAATTTCTATTGGCTTTCTGGTTTGCTTTCCTCAGCTTTCTTGACACCATTTCTATAGTCCGTCTTCCTTGTCGTACTCTTTTTGCATATACTGACCTCTTTCCTAATGCTTCTATAATCATTTTTTTAAATCTAACTACCTGCCTGTATTGACACTGCCCATCACATTCATTCCCTAGCCCAAACAGCTAGTTCATCTTCTGCTCCCCATATTTCTCTCATCTCTGCACCCACAGCTTAACTCTTGATCATTCCAAGCAATTATCTGTCCAAATCAATCCTCTTCTCTTTCCTTGGCTTCTTGGTAAATTCAAGATGCCTCAGAACGTTGACCCAATATGTAATGCAAGTCACTCCCTCAACTCCCAACAAAAATAATTTTTGGTCTATGTCCAATTTATCTGTATAGTTTTGTCTCTGTTGCCAAAAGACTTAGGCTTAAGAGCTGCTTCCTTCCTGCCCAAGACTGATTGTGCATGAGGAATGAAGCAAACATTTAGCAGGTGCTACCCTACTTAAATGCAGGCAGAGTCAATAGAAATTCTAAACTGCTCCCAGAGCCCCTTGCACAATTCTTGAAGTGAGGATTTTCCTTTTCCTTTGTTCCTTTCCCAGTGAGGATTTATTCAAAGAAGCACACTCTCCCTCTTATCGTGACTCCAGCAGCTACTGGGGTTGCTGCTTAATAGAACAGAACTCCCTGCCCATACAGGAAAGCAGCATTTGAGTCCTCTGGACAATGCACAGAAGAGCAGTCAAAAGAAATAGAGAAGTGATGCTCCTACTGAATTCCTGCAGAAGTGAGTCTGGGAACCAAACTTCATTGTCACAGTCCAAGCTGATTTTATTTGACTGATACTTGGCAAGTTTTTCTTTAGAAAAAAATCTCTCTCTTTTGTAATGGACCTAACTGCATTAGGTATTCAGACACTGAGACATAACAAACATCCAGACCCAAAATGACATTATTACAGACAGTTTTCAAAGCACAGGCTCACTTTCAGCTAAAGTACCAAGGTCAGACTCAACTGTTTAAAGCATGACAATGCATTAAGAGAATGGCTTCACCTGTCTTATTCCTTAATTATCAAGACTGAACAAAATGGAAAACTCAAAAAAGACAGATTTTGAAATGATGAAAACAAACTCTTATGAAAAAGTCCCTATTTCTCCTTCCTGTCAGATTCACTTTTTCATGGATTGACATAGTTTACTTAAACCATTTAAAATTTGTAACATCTAAACAGTTTGAATATTAATCCTGGGAATTTTACACATTATTAATCTTCTAATTTTCTTCTCTCATAAATTAGGAAGAGGATTAGGAACTAATAGAATATTCACCTCCTATTATGTAAATTCAAGAACAGTTTTTGGGAGGAACATGGGAGAGAAAGAGTGGAAAGGGGAACCTGGATATGTTTAACATTTTGTTCCCTCCAGCACATATTTGTTTTTGCTGATGCTGGATACTGTGAAAAGCCCAGTTTGCTTTTCACCTAAGTAATATTAGGTGCATTATAAATAATGCAGCTTGATGGATTTATTGTTAAAGTTATTGGCTGTCAGCACCATTAATACATATTTTGCACCTACATTTTAAGGTGTTTGAATAATTAAACATGCATTCAGTGATTTTTATGAGACTGCTAATATAAGACTGGCTTGTACATAGACAAGAATATGAACAAACGTGTTCTTTTCAATAGTGGAAGAAAATGTAAAATTGTTGTGAACACACAAAAAGTATTTGAGTAAATTCAAGATAAAAAGAGGGATTTTTGTGTATGTGAGAGAGCGAGGGACAGAGAGAACATAATTAGCACTTAGCACTGGTGAGTTAAAATGCATTAAGAACATAACAAGTGCCATAATGGGTCAGACCAATAGTCCATGTAGTCTAGCATTTTGCTCTCCAACGGTGAGTCCAGCATTCTCATCTCCAACAGTGGCAGACATGGATGTTATAGATGTATATCACTGAACTGGATCTCTCTAGAGTGATCCCCTATTCAATATCCTCCCTGACACCCACCATTATAGGTTAACAGATGCCAGAAGCAACACCTCCAACCATTCTGTTCAATAGCCAGTAATTATCTATCATCCAGGTATTTTTTTAGTCCCTTTCTGAGCACGGCTATGATATCTGCCTCCCCCACCTCCTGTGGCAATGAATTCCACAAATTAACTATGTGTCGCATAAAAGAAATACTTACTCTTGTTAGTGTTAAGCCTATCACCTACTAGTTTCAGTGGGTGCTCCCTATTTCTAGTAATATCATAGTGTCTTTAAATGTGAGAGTTCTTAGTTGATGACTAAAAAACTACCCTAAATACATAGAATTTGTATTGGTGTCCAGAAAAATGCAATCAGTCTATTAAAATGACTGGTGTAAAAATAAAGGTACATTAATATTGTTATTAAAATAGCATATTAGTAGTATATGTTTTGTCCTTTTTGTTTCAATTATCTTTTCAAACCCAATTATTACTTCAAATTCATTAATATGAACAAGCTAATAATATTACCACATTTTCCTTCTAATAGTGAAGTCTCACCACCAAGCGCAGCTCAGTTAAATTAGGTGTGAGAAGAAGCACCATTGAGGTAATGAATTCCTCATTCACTGAAGATACAGAATGATAATGAAGTCAGTCAGGAGATACTACTGCACCATCAGGACTACAACCACCCTTCAAAGCACAGCCCCACCAATCATAAGGAGTGGGTAGTTAATACCACCAATCAAATTACTATCTATTTCTCAGCCTTCTCCCCGGAGTACCATTGGTGGTATTGGCCCCAGTGGCCAGTAGATGGTGAAAAAAACATGGGCAAATTCTTTGGGTTCTGCACCCCCATCCTCTTCTACATGGATACAGTGGAAATGAAGCAATTTGACCCTGTTTGGTGTCCTTTGCATTCATAGCTAAAAGGCACAGAAAATTTGCCCCTAGGAAAACGTTTAAGGTGAATTAACAGTATGAGCAATTTTCTTAGTGGAGCATATTTGTGTGCTTATCTTGTATGGAAAAGTGATGCTTATTTGACAAACATACACTGGTGGCTTGTCAGTTCAGTATGTCTTCTATTATTTAAACATGCCATTGGAAATCTTCTTGTTATATATGAAATATAGTAAAATTAGAAATCATAGTTAAAAATTGTTCATTTGCAAAATAACACCAAATAAATATTTGAAATTTCTGTTCAAGTGCCAATGCATGATTGTAGAATCAATAGTGCATTCATCATTAGATGATATCAAATGTGTTTCAATAGATACAAAAGTATGTTGGAAAATAGATTTGTCTCCTTATACAGAGACGAATATAATTCCTACAAAAATGAAAAGAAAGCTGCTTTCATGAAAGTTTCATATCAAAGTATCTCAAGAGGGTTTTGTCAATTTTCCACAAAGTCCTCAGAAAAACTGACACACAATCCCTAGACTGTTAAAGTTCATCAAGTCTGAGTGTTCCTTTTATTTATTAGGGATGAAGAAGATTAGGTCATCTGAAGTGAGGTGCTGATTACCTGTTTTAAAATGCCTGCTGCCATCTCATGACTGCAATCAAAGATTACATGGAACTCCTTGCCTCTTTTCATCTCCTTTAGTAAAGGCTTTGCATCCTTTGTATCAGCTGGTAGCTGCCGGATTTTTAGTCTCAGGTTGTATCGCGATGGAGCCTTGATGAGCTCTTGTAATCGAATAAGGCCTTAAAGAATATACAAAGGACAGAGGAAAGGAAAATTATCAAAACAAGAATGTGATCTTGCAAAAAGAGTAGCTTATTAAAGTATTTGCAATTTCCTGAACTTCATTCTCTCCTCATGCATATATGCTACAGTGAAGATATGGAAATCTGCACTTTTTATGTACTCCCAGTGCTTTCTTGTCATACTTCTTGCTCCTTCTTTAATATTAATAGACACTAAGCAGGCCTGAGTTAGGATTACCTTCAGGGATGCGGACAAATCTTCCTTTTGAATTATCATGGAGCTATGACTTTCCACTCTAAAGTATATATATAATTATTCTAATTCAATTAAAGCAACATCCCAGACTAATAGTTTGTAATCAGACTACTCTTCTCATGACTAATCTATCAGGTTTATATACACAGTTTCAGTTCATTACAGCACTGTGGAACATTCTCACAAAATCCACATCAGACTACTAACCGAGTTAATTTCTTTTCTTTAATTATACAATTAAGGAAACACATTTAAGCAGCACCAAAGGCACCAAAATGGACTATTCAATAAACAGTTGACTCCTGCTGTTTCATTCTTCTTTTATATTCTATAAAACATTTTGGATTACTTTGTTTTTCCATTGGAATTACATGCATGGAAATTCCTCAAAAACCTTTTGGTTTACAGTAGTATGACAGTGCCACACAGCTTACAGACCGTTGGTCTGTGACCAATACTAAACATCACATTATTTAACATTATTGAAAATGACAGAGTAAAAGTAGACCATCTCTAAAATAACAGTTCATTTCAATGTTAGCAAGAAAAATGCGCTCTTTCGTGCAAACTTTAATCATGGCACGTACATTAGGGCTAAGAATGTATTAAACCTATATGTTTACATAGCCACCTGCCCAAAAATATTCATCTCATCTCAGATATGCAGTTTTGCCATGGAGAGGTGCTTAGCTTTCCCATTCTTTCAGACAACCGCCTAGTGTATCTACAGAGAATGTAAGTACTGAGCTACCTATAGACTGCTAATGAGAAATCTAAGAATGAAGGGGTTAACTTCCACCCCTCAGGCATTTGACTTGATTCTCTTCCACTATCTTGGGATCCAAATCATCTCAAGAAAGTGGAGCCACCTGCTTTTTGTCCAGTAGCCTATGGTTAGTTCAGGTTCCTAGAAGTGTCCTAACATCCAGGCTATGGGCTAAGGTAGTCTCTATCTCTTCTCTTGAAGTTGGATCACTGGACAAAAAGTAATGCAAGAATCACAGGCAATGGGAGTACCTAAGTTGGAATATAATTCTGTAGATCAAAGAAAAGGACCCTCTCTTGGAAGGGACAGAGCCCTGTGTTCTGCTTCTTGCTCCCATCCCTGTTTATTAATTTTGCATGTAATAATCAATGGATAAAATGCATAAATATCTTTAGAAGTAGGAGTCAGAGCCTAGGGTTCTCTTCCAACCTGTAATCTCTTCACTATGCTAGTCATGCTCCATCTAACTCATAGCCCAGCATGAACAGCATTTTTCTGGGAAAAAGAGATGCTAATTCAAATGCCCTCAGCTCCAGTGATACCTAGCACTCATTTCCCCCTCATTTCCTAGGCACATGCCCTGGCCACTAAGCTGCAGGCAAGGAGTCATTCTCCCTTTCCTCTTCTAGGGCCTAAAACTGAAGTTCATATTTAAAAAGTAGATGTATTAACAGTTTTACAGGGTCTCAGTCAGAGTGGAAAACAATTGCACTTCAAGAGTTAAATATCTTAACATCATTTAATTATCCCTTAGTACCCATCTAAGCTTTGCCATCTAATGCTCAGAGTGATCTTGATGAAAACAGCCCTACCCATTTGCTCATGCTTTGCAGACATCACATGTTAGAAAAAGAATGTAGTTATTTATAGGGACACACTTGGGATACACCTAGGACCAATATTATTCTTTTTCATGTTCATATATACATGCTATTCAGTGGCTACATGACATTTTTCATCCATACAGTGTGCAGTATGGGACTGAGTATGTAGATGTGACTTTTATGGTGGCAATCCTGAAACCCATACAATGCAGTGTCAACAGGCCCTTTGAGGCCAAATGGGTGGAATAGAAACTGGGGCCTCATTGGCAGCGAAAGATATTGTGTGCCACTAATTTTCTATATAACATACTGGGGTTCCAATCCTTATCTCTCAAAGACAATAGGAAGAATTTATTACCTTTGATTTTAATCATAACATGGTGGAGGCCTCAGTAAAAGGTATCTCTGACAACTGATATTACTATCTTCCTTGTAATGTATAAAATATGTATGAAGAAGGTATTTTGTTATTAGTCATTAAATTCTATATACTATCATTTATCATCATCATGTGTATATTTGCATAATATGAAAAGGATAGTGTTTGCCTTAAACTAGCTAGGTATCATAGAATGGGAGAAAGTTATATTAAACTAATTTGATTTATGAAAAAAATACAATTCTTTTACAGACCTGCAAATATTTTCTTTGAAAAACTGAAAGAAAATCTAATTTTTCCTGAAAATACTCTATATTCCCTCTCAGGCATTGACGACTAAACTAAACCTTTATACTTGGGATTCAAATTTAATTTGAACAGACCTTTTATCACCATGCCTTACTGTGCTATTTAAATGTATATAATAGCACTCCATGCTATGGTACTTTGCTGTGGAGTTTTTAAAATCTAAATAAGCAAGTATCATTTCACAGAAATCCACACCTGAGGGAGTTGTCTATGTAAATATTATCTACCCTATGTAAGAGATAGAAGCAGTCCCTTCCTTTCAACCTTCTTCTTTCTCCTTCCTTCTCCCAACTCCATCTTTATTCCCCCACCTCTGACAAAATTCACATTATGGAGTGTGAAGATGCGCTATTTCATATTTTCTCCCTCTTTCTCAGTAGCTATTCAATGATTACTTAGAATAGGAAATACAGCCATACTACTTTTCCATGAATTCCTTCTGGAATTTCTATATTTGTGAGAAATTGAAAGATAAAAAGCATCTGGGAGCTGCTGCAGCAAGGAATAGAGATCTGTGTATCAAGGCTTCTCTGGATCCATGATGCCAGGGCGCAGAGTATGGTAGGCTCCAAGAGCCTACACAAACTAAAACAGATACAAGGGTTGTGAACAACTGCTCTTTGCTTCCTCCAGCTCTTCTGGAATTTTTAAAACTGGGAATTAGGAATATATCAAAAGAGGCCACCCTATAGCACCGGAATTATTTGGTAAAAACTAAAAAAGGAGATTCTTACAGTTTTCCTCTCAGTATTTCTATTCATTTCCTTCCAACACCAAAGGTGATCTGCCTGAGCTCTGTATGTTATTTACTTCAAGAAGGTCTCTATATGATACTGTAGTCTTAACACATACATGCAACATTTAAATTGATGATGAATACACATTCATAATTAATCCAAACTTCAAAGTTCCATTTTTTAAAATGACACAATATAACATTATGGAATAGCGATAGACTTATGATGTTCTAATTTCAGGCTATATCCATATTTCTATTGTAAACATTGTCTTTCAAGAACTGTGGCTCTCCTGTCATAAAAAAAAGGAAAAATAGCATTTTGAGGCTTTACTGATACAAAAGTTTTTAGTTGAAGTTCAATTTTAAAAAAACTATCTCTATACATTTTGGTTTTCCTTTAGTAAGACATTTTAAAAAAATCATTTGGAAGGTTTTTATCTACTCAATGATTCAAAAATATTTTTGATGTTATCAGTTAAACTTTGCAATTTGGCCTAAATACTGACTCACTTTACAAAGAAAGAACCCCCGTCAAACAAACAATGAAGACTTTGTGAAAACAACTATGCCTTCTGGCAGATTTTCCTGAGATTTTTTTTTAAACAAAATTCTATATATTCTATACACACATGAGACCAGCACTTCTGTATACAATATATCATGCATGGTTTGGCAAATAACCTTAGGCAGGAAATCAATGATGGACTGTGGAATCTTTCACCTATGAGCATTGTCCTATCTAGAAGCCTAAGCCAGAAGTTATCTAAGGTTGCCTGTACACATGCAGGGAGGCTGCTTTGATGTACAGCAATTAATTGAGTCTGATGGGAAATGCTAATTAGCACTCTCCAGCCAGCATCTATGTCTCATGCATAAGGATTCTAGCACTTCAAAATGGTGGTGGAGGTGCTCTAACTAAAGTTCATCAAAAGAGCTTTATTTAAAGTGCCCCTGCTGCCATTTTGAAGTATGGGGACACTAATGCATGAAAGAATGTGGGCACTTTAATTAGAGTGGTTCTTGAAGCTAGTTTAATTAACGCATCCTCCTTTCCCCATTCCCCCGCATCCTCAGAGCATGTGTAAAAACTCCCTAAAGGTCTAAAGCCCTTCATATATGACAGATGATTATCTGCCTGTATGCAGTGTACCAGTGATCACAGCCCAGTTCCTAGTTTGCATATCACAGAAACCCCACAGAAACCCCACTACATTCATTGACAGCCTTTCATTGGCAGCCTAAAGGGCTAAATAGACATGGATTGAATTGAACTACTCTCATCATTAAGTCTCACCTTTACAGGGTAAGATACAGAGTAGAAAAAAAAGTGGTGCACATGACTTGTGGAAAACAGCAGATATCAATTTACAGGATTTCTTAATATATTGAAATATACTTTTTTTTTTAAATGTTTTGCTCAACAAACCATGATGACATCAGAATTTTTTTTTAAGAGATGGCTTAATGGCTTTAGTGAAATCCTTTTCTTAACAATATAAAAAATGAAATACACTTGTTTTTAAATTTGTTTATCTAACCGTATGTACATCTCATGTAAAGCAGCACCTGTCCTTTGCCATTGATGTTCCTTGGCAAATCCTTAAAATTTCAATTCTAAAACAGAAAATTTCCAGCATAATATGCGATCAGCCAAGCTACCCCAAACAGTAACCCATAACCCATAGAAAAGAACCAACTAAATATTTCCAAACTCTTCCCATTAC